ACATTTAAGATCTACTCCTTCAGGAACTTTCAAGTATACACTATAGACTATACGCTATTGTTAACTACAGTCACCATGCTGTACATTAGATCCCCAGAACTTAATCCTCTTATAACTGCACAAGTTTGTACCCTTTGACCAACATCTCCGCATTCCCCCCACTCTTCAGTCCCTGGCAACCACCATTCTACTCTGTTTCTATGAGTTCAGCATTTTTAGACTCCACATATTAGATCATAAAGTATTTGTCATTCTCCATCTGACTTATTTCACTTAGCATAGTGCTCTGCTCTCAAGGCTTATTATGCATGTTGTTGCAAATAGCAGGATATTCTTTATTTTTGTTGAATAGTATCCCATTGTATATATACACCACATTTTCTTTATCCATTCATTCATCAATGGACACTTGAGCTGTTTCCATGTCTTGGCTATTGTAAATAATGCTTCAGTGAACAAGGGGGTACAGATATCTCTCTGAGAACCTGATTTCAATTCCTTTGGATATACAGTAAAACCTTGGATTGCAAGTAACTTGTTTTGCGAGTGTTCCGCAAGATGAACAAACATTTCTGTTAGGTTGGTGCAAAAAGTAATTGCAGTTTTTGCCATTACAAGTATGGCAAAAACCGCTATTACTTTTTGCACCAACCTAATAATACATTTTAACTTGGTAAACAAGCAAGGTCTTGCAATACGAGTAGTTTGTTTCCAGAACAAATTATGCTTGCAAACCGAGGTATTACTGTATACCCAGAAGTGTGATTGCTGGATCATATGGTAGTTGTATTTTTTGAGAAACCTCCATACAGTTTTTCAGAATGGCTGTACAAGTTTACACTCCCACCAACAGTGCATAAGGGTTCCCTTTTTTTTCCACATCCTTGCCAGGATTTATTTCTTATCTTTTTGATAACAGACATTCTAAAAGGTGTGAGGTGATATTTCACTGTAGTTTTAATTTGCATTTCCCTGATGATTGGTGATCTTGAACACCTTTTCATGTATTTATATGTCTGCTTTAGAAAAAAATCAGATCCTTTGCCCATTTTAAAATAAGATTGTTTGGTTTTTATTGCGTTTTAGGAGTTCCTTAGATATTTATTAGATATATAGTTTATAAATATTTTCTCCTATTCTGTAGGTTGACTTTTCAATTTGCTGATTGCTTATTTTGCTGTACAGGAGCTTTTTTGTTTGGTGTAGTCTCATTCATTGATTTTTGCTTTTGGTGCTTGCGCTTTTGGTGTGATATCAAAAAAAAAATCATTGCCAACATCAATGCCAAGTAGCCATCCCTATGTTTTCTTTTATGAGATTTACAGTTTCAGGTCTAACATTTAAGTCCTTAATCCATTTAGAATTAAGCTTTGTGAATAGTGTAAAAGGGATACAGTTTCATTCTTCTGCTTGTGAATATCCAGTTTTCCCAACACTTACTGAAGAGACTATCCTTTTCCTCATTAAATATTATTGGCTCCCTTGTCAAATATTAGTTGACAGTATATATCTGAATTTATTTTGGGGTCTCAATTCTGTTCCATTGGTCTATATGTCTGTTTTTTATGCCAGTACCATACTGTTTGGTTACGATAGATTTGTAATATAGTTTGAAATCAGGAAGTGCAATGCTCCAGCTTTCTTTCCTAAGACTACTTTTGCTACTCAGGGTCTATTGTGGTTTTATATGAATTTTAGGATTGTTTTTAGTATTTCTGTGGAAAACATCATTGGAATTTTGATAGGTATCTACCAACTAGCACTGAATCTATAGATGACTTTGGGTAGTATGAACATTTAAAAAATATTAATTTTCCATATTAATTTTCCAATTCATGAACATGGGATATATTTCCACTTATTTGTATCTTCTTTCATTTCTTTTATCAATGTCTTATAGTTATCAGTGTACAGTTCTTTCACGTTCTTGGTTATATCTATTTCTAAGTATCTTATTGTTTTTGATGCTATTGTAAATGAGATTATTTTCTTTATTTCTTTTTCAGAGAGTTCACTGCTAATGTACTCTGATTTCTGGAACTGATTTTTGTATGTTGACTTTATATCCTAAAACTTTATTGAATTTGTTAATTAGTTCTAACAGTTTTTTAGTGGAGTCTTCAGGATTTTTGTATATAAGATCACGTCATCTGCGAACAGAAACAATTGTACTTTCCCCTTTCCAATTTGGATGCCTTTGTTTTTCTTGCCTAATTGCTCTGGCTAGGACTTCCAGTACTCCGTTACATAGGAATGGTGAGAGTGGGCACCCTTGTGTTGTTCTCGATCTTAAAGAAAAAGCTTTCAACTTTTCACTGTTGAGTATGATACTGTTAGCTGTGGGCTTGTCATACATGACTTTTATTATGTTGAGGTGTGTTTCTCCCATGCCCACTTTGTTGCAAGTTTTTATCATGAAAGGATATTACATTTTGTCAAATACTTTGTCTGCATCTATTGAGATGATCATGTGATTTCTATCTTTCATTCCATTGATATGCTGTATCACATTTATTGATATGTATATGTTAAACCATACTAGTTTCACAGAAATAAATCCCACTTGATTGTGTATGATCCTTTTAATGTATTATTGAATTTGGTTTGTTAGTATTTTTTCAAGAATTTTTGCATCTATATTCATCAGGGATATTAGCCTATAGCTTTCTTTTCTTGTAGTGTCCTTATCTGGCTTTGATATCAGGGTAATGCTGGCCTGTAAAGTAAGTCTGGGAGTGTTCCGTAAGAGTCTGAGAAAGACTGGCATTCATTCTTCTTAAATTTTTGATAGAATTCACCTGTGAAACCATCTGGTCCTAGGTTTTTCTTTGTTGGGAAATTTTTGAATACTGATTCAATCTCCTCATTTGTTACTATCTGTTCAGTTTTCTATTTCTTCATGATTTAGTCTTGGTAGGTTGTATGTCTGTATCTAGGTTGTTTAATTTGTTGGCATATAATTGTTCATAGTATGTTTCTATTGTATCAGTTGTAATGTCTCCTTTCATTTATAATTTTAATTATTTGAGTCCCTTTTTTTTCTTGAAAAATATAGCTTGTTAATTCTGTTATCTTCAAAAAAACAAATTAGTTTCATTAATCTTTTCTATTGTTTTTGTATTCTCTATTTCATTTATTTTTGCTCTGATCTTTGTTATCTCCTTCCTTCTGCTAACTTTGAATCATGTGATTTCCTGCTCAAATACCATCACAGGCCTTCTGTCGAACTTAAAATAAAATGCAAAATTCTTAACAAATATAGCACCCTCCAAACCACCCTTCTGAGAGGAGTTCTAAGCCTCCAACTCTCAGTCTCCTTTTACTTTCCATATCTAATTGATCAGCAAAATGTATCATTTTTAGTTACTAACATTTAATTCTCTATTACATTTCTTCTCCATTCCTATTGCTACCTAGCCATTATTTCTTGCCTGAATCACTTCCATGGTCTCCTTCCTCCCTGATTCCAGTCTTTCCCACTTTACATTCTTCTATAGCCAGGATCAGCATCTAAAACCTATGTATGATCATGTCACTACCATGGTTCTATCAGGCTACTGGACAGAGTTCAATGTGGGGCTTATAAAGCTCTTCACCATCTGGCTCTTGCCTCCTTCTTAGCCTTAATCTCCCAATCAGTACTACACTCCTACATGCCAAAGTTACCAAATATTTTATGGTTTCCTGGAACTACCATTTTTCTCTGCTGTGTGCCATTTTGGAATCTTTCCTTCTTGTTTGTCTTCCTGGTGAACCCCTGCTCATCCCAAGACTCACCTTATCCGAAGAGTACCTCGGGAAGCTTTCACAGATTTTTTCCCAGTCCCAGGAAATAAGTCACCCCCTCTAAAAGCATCAGTGTATAGCTTATTTATGGCAGCAGCACATATATGGCAACTGTTTGATCCCAGTAGATTCTAAACATGGGTACCATGCATGCACTTCAGGGACAAGCATCAGAAGGAGCTATCCACCGATTCCCTAAAACTGAGTGTAAAACTTTGTATGCAAAATCATACTTGCAGAGTCCCAAGAAGAACTTTCATCTGCTCCCCCATGACCCAAAAAGGATTAGGAACCAATACCTTAGGTCATGAATTCTTGAGGGAAGGGATAAGTCTTGTTCATCTTTAATTTCTTTATCTCACAACTATCACATTGCACAGAGCAGAGTTAAGGCAACTGTACACACATGCTTTTGTACACTAGTAAATATATACAAGCAAATACATAGAATTGATACTTTAAAAATATTATTTAGGTAAATTTCCTAAGGTCCTTGACCAAACAACATACTTCGTATCCTCTATGGTCCCTAAAAATATCACATTTTTAAAAGAGAAACTTGTAATTCTTTCTAAAACTTGTAATTCTCACCAATATATATGTACTAGAATATATACTCCTCAAAGTGAGGTTTTACCCCGTTCCTTAATCTAAGCTTAACAGTCACCTGAGGTTTCTGATGCTTGCTTTACTTGAAAAATTTGTACCTTTCTTTTAGTTAGTTCTTCTCATCAGCCTGTGAAATGTAATCTTGGTAATCAGTCAACTCAATATATTTTTATAATAACCAATGGATAGCTAAGGGTTTATCAGAATTTATCTCTTAGAAATAGTCCTACATTATTTCCAGGTTTAATCACTACATTAAACAATACTTGGCTCTTTTCAGCTTCAACTACCTTCTCTTCTTAAGAGGTGGGAGAGACAGAATTTTAGTCCCTGCTACCAGCTGAAGGAGCTGTGTTCACCAGCAAAACCAATAGAGAAATGCCCCGTAGATATTACAATGAGCCCAGCAGCTCTATACAGTAATTCCATCTAGAAAAGCAGGTGTGATATGTACTATCGGAATAAGGAGGGCCCCTTAAATATACCAGGACAAATACAAAGGAATAATTTTAGCAACACTGTTTCATAACATAATTAGGAAAAATAAACAAAGGAGAAAAAAGGAGGTTTGCAGGAAAAAAACTACCCTGTGTTAGATTTCTTACCATTTTATAGAGATCTGAGACACTAATCTGGTCCGAATCCACTACTTCAAAGTCCTTTCGAGGTACCAGGTCCAGTCCCAAATGCCTGGTAAAGAGAAAGACCACACTCAGCATGCCATGTCCTCGGATTACTCCTCTCTCTTTATGTGCCTGGGAGTCCATACCTGCTATGACATTGTAGACAGAGGCTCAGACACTGCCCCAGGAGAGACATGTCTTTACCCAGTAACAGTTGTCACCTTTAGGAAAATAAATGAGGCTAGGTATTTTAAATCTGTCACAGTTCTGGTCAAGCAGTTCCCTTGTGATGGTAAGGAGGAGTCATTTAATAACATGTTTTTAACAAACTGCTTGAGTTCATTAAGGATGGGTTTTCTATAGATCATTAATAAGTGATGCTTATTCTTCTATTTCTCCCCATTCTACAAGTATGTTCAGGGTTCAGTAATACATTACTTCCATTAAGATGAAAAATTATTCAGGATCCAAGTAGATTTACAATTCAAAGTCAAAGACATAAAAATTACCTGCTGAAGATATTAAACTCAAAGAAATGTATGTTTTGGTTGAGTTTTATCTCATTTTCAATTTAATTAATACTAACATTAAGCTATAGTAAAGACTTCACTACATACTAGCCAATATCTTAAGAAGCTTTAGATAAAAATTTAACCAAGGAGTACTACTACTAAAGAACACAGTATTTGGAAGATCTGGTATAACTTGGGCAGAAAAGAAGAATAGTGATTAATGGGTGGAGGAGTATGAAGCAATGGAAATAACTCTGGATACAGTAAAAACTCTTGGGTTCAAATACAGTACATAATTTATAGTCAATAAACGTTAGCTCCTGTCTCACTCTCTAGAACAGCAGCTCTAAACCTGGAATCCAACGGAGCAGTGGACCCCTGAAACTGCTTACAGCAGTAGGTGCATGTGTTCATGTATGAATTTTTTCTGAGTAGACAAGAGGGTCTATAACTCTCACCAGGGTTTCAGAGATGCTCTGTGACCACCCTACTCTAAAATAAGGGTTATTAATTATTGCATCTGGCAAAAGCATTCCGTAGACAATGGAGAAAGATTATTTTTTCTCTTCAACTAAACTATGAACTAGTTTTAGAATATGCTAGCAAAACTAATTCTGTAGGTTCCTTCTGTACATAAAACTTCTACTCATTTAAAATAAAGCCATGTGTACATCTAAAATGCAGATTTATTTTATTTTATAATTTACACCCTCTTTATAGGAAAATATGTGAAAAGGTTAAAGTTGCAATAAGATTGTTAAAATGAAAATAGAAAAATCAAACCTATATATGAAGAAGGTAGAAGCATAACTGCATAGGCTAATATGATTACTATGATTAAGAATTAAAATTTAGATGTGTACTTTCTAGCAGACAAGAACAGGAGAAATCCATTTCTCTATTAAAGGATAAAAACTCATGTTTTTCTATTATCTATTATAATTTGCATTATCCTATAACAGAAAAACATGAGGTTTTAAAAAGGAAATCAGTTTTTGATACTAAATTCTCCCAAAAAGCCTCACAGTTTTGCATGACGACAGGATCAATAATACACTGTTGGCTTTAACTATGCTAGTTTACAGTTTAATGATAAAACTATGCTATTGAAGAAATTTTATTTTTCTACCACTGGGATCCTGTCTTCTTATATCAAATAAACACTCTATTCAATCACCTCTTATTAGCTAGTCTTAATTTCTCTGAAATAATTTCAGGCCTCTGGCTTCTAACACTTACAGCATGTAAAGGCAGGATAGTTCCGGGGAGAGGGAGGGAGGGAGGGAAGGAGGGAGGGAGGGAGGGAGGGAGGGAGAGAGAGAGAGAGAGAGTGCGAGCCGAAGCACGTCCTTTCTACACTCTTGTCATAAAAAGCAATTTACACTTATAAAGATAATTTTGCAGATATGATCTTAAATATTTAAAATATGTTTATATCATGTGGAAAAATAGTGAAAAGATCATAAAATATTAGTATTTGTGTTAGGGAAGTGAAATTATACAATTGATCATTTAAAACATCTTCCAAATTTTCTGTAGTCATGCTATTGAAACCTTTCTAAATACAAAAATGAGACAAAATTCCATACATATTCTTTAACTACTGGAGGACACAAAATAATAATAATCTAAATACAGAATTAAGTACAAAAAAGGCTATTCAAATAATCCAATCAAAATAGATGTTTTCAATATACTAGCTTAAGAAAAAAATCCAGATGGATCTAAGTCAATAGGGCTAGGACAGGGCGTATGAGCCCTGTTAGTGCACCACACACAGCGACTGTCCTGTCTGGAGACTGGCGTCCCTGTACTCTCTATCTTAGCACTAGGACACTCTTACCTTGTCATTCAATTATCCACCCATATCCACTCAACTCACAGAAACTCTCTGAGGACCTTCTTTGTACCAGACCAACAATGTTAAATATAGGAAACACAGCAAATGTTGGTATTCATCATGCTTATTCATGCTAGGAGAGGGCAGAGTGTTTTCCTTCTCCTAGAAGTCACCAGAGCACAGTACCTTTTAGTTTCTTGATTTCTTTATTTTAGGAAATAAGAGAATGATTAACAGGTGATCTGACAAAACAGAAGGCAAGTTCCTTCTACTAAGATCATCTTCAATGGAGGAAAAGTAGTTTTCAAAAGCTAAACCGGAGGACTGTCCCCACTGAAAGAAGGCCGAGATGCTGCACAGTGAGAAGTACTACAAATTTCCCTCTGAAAAAGAGGTTCCTGGCTGTTTCTTACTATAGCTTACTCTGAGAAGACTGAACAGTAAGTGCAACCTTTTCTCTATCTTCACAGCAAAGGGAGGCAGTACAGCAAAATAGTCAGAGGTGTGGACTCTGAGGTTAGACTGCCTGGTTTGTACTTGATGACTCCAACAAGCCACATTGTCTTATATGTCCCCAGAGGTGGTTGTACCGATTAATCCATGTAAAGCACTCAGCACACAGCCTGGCATTGGGAACTGCTACTGTTGTAACAGTTATTATCATGTATTACATTATTAGTCAACACATGGCTTAAAGACTCTGATCAAAGAAACATAGTGTCTGAAAAACAGACTCAAACAGATGGACACAAGCAGGAGACATACATCTATGTATATCAACATACAAATGTAATATAGAGATGAGTTTTCAAAAATGGCCCCACTAACAGCTAGGGTAAACAGTCTTCAGGAAAATATTTAGTCTTCTCTCACCACCTGTCATTGATACTCATTTATTCATTCCAATAATTCAATAAATACTTACTAGCACTTACTCTGTGGTAGGCTCATGCTGAACTTGGGACACAGCAGTGAATAAGAGACATACTGTGGGTTCTACATTCTTTCAGGTGTACCTCTCTAAGGGCCCTGAATCTATATCAAATTCTTTGAATTTTACATTTCTTTTGAATGTTCTATATTCTATTCTATTTTTAATTGTATCTTTTTTTCCCTGGGGTTCCTTATCTGAACCACAGAACATAAAAAGCAATTTGAAGTTAATTAATTACATATAACAAATGTTTTAAGACATTAGGACTTAATTGTTCCTCAGAATTGTTTGAGAAAGGCTGGAGATGTTAAGGTTTCCTGTAGGCAGTGCCCTTTTCTAATACTTACAGTATAGAGAGCATACAGATAGTAACTATACTAATGAAAGCATGGTACATCTATATTTATATAATAATAAAATATAATAAGATATAACTAATTATAGCTACTCTTTACTGAACATTTACTTGGGACAAACATTTTATGTATATCATCTCTAAGCACTAAGGGAAATAGTGTTAGACCCATTTTATAACTGAGGAAACTGAAGCAGACAGAGGTTAGCTCAGTGGCCTATTAAGGAAGCAGAGTTGGGCTCATCTCAAGCTAGGTCTCTCTTACTCTGAACTTACGGTATTTCCCCTATACCTGCTGCCTTTTTACTAATAATCATGAAAGTTAAGTACTAATAGCCATACGTGATTATAATCAATTCAGTTATAATAGTTTGAGGGATGATTTTGTGTCAATATATCAATGCAGGAGGGAACAAATACTGATTGGTAAATGAATGACCACCAGGCATTAAGAACAAACCCATTTTATTACTTAGATTCATTCACGTAATGCCTACCAAGTGCAGGGTATGATGAGAGAGAGAGGGAGGGAGGGAGAGGGGAGAGGAAGAGAGTGCAGGAGAGGGAAGGAGGGAAGGAGGGAGGGAGGGAGGGAGGGAGGGAGAGAGAGGAAAGTTAGTCATCTGAACATGATAACCTTTTTCAGTGGCAAGACCCTGATGGGTGGGCACAACACCCTGTATCAGAAAAAGTATAAGAAAGTCACTGGAAACATCTGCTAATTTCAGATGTCCTGAAGCTGGAAAATATCACCATGTCCTTAAAGGGAAAGTACTGCGTCACAAACAGTTCTGAGTCTTACCTAAAAATCTTCTCAGAGGAAACTTGTTGAGGTGGTCAAGTGGGTGGCAGTAATTTCTGCAAACTACAATTCAAACTGCTGCTTGTGTTGCTTCCTCCAAGAACAATTCCATCAGTGAGGCTAAGTAACTATGCTGTAAGTTAACATACTGTATTTTGCTAAGATTTCTATGGCCCAAAGTCAGATTAAGAGAACACTGTGTGCTCTATGGTATACATGAATCCATGTTGTATCATACAAGGCGTGTGGTGTGTGTGTGGCATGTGCCAAGTAATGCTATTAACAGTCAAGAAGGTGTCATTTAATTTAAGTTACACAAAGATAGGATTCTGCCACTTCAAAAGGTCACAAACAACCAATTTAAAGTTGTACTTTTTTCTTTCCTAGTGATCAACAGTACCACTCCGGGTTGGAACCACTGTTTATTAGATTCTGTGTTTCCTCTTTTCTGATTTGTTCTTACACATTCTCAAGTCCCTTCTTAAGAAACGGGCCATGAAAGATAACTTCTGCATCCTTGAATATTTTAAAATGGCTTTATTTGGCCTTTATACTTGATTAGTTTGGTCGTTCATAAAATTCTGGCTGCCAAATCATCTCCCAACAAAAATTTGAAGGTATTACTTCATTATATTATAACATCCAGTGTTACTGATAAAACTTTGAGACCAATGTGATTCTTATTCTTTTGTAAGAACACCTGGTTTTCTAAAACCATTTAGGATCTTCTTATCATCCCTGGGATCCTAAAGTATATTAATATGACTTGCCATGGGGTTTGGGGTTTTTTTCCCCATTCATTATGTTAGGTATTTGGTGGACCCTTTCAACCCTAAGGATCCTGGTTCTTTGGCTCTGAGAAATTGTCTTCTATCATTTTTAGCATTTCTTCTCTACTGCCTTTGACTTTTTCCTGGAGATTATGATGTCTGATGTTGGACCCCCTGGATTGAACCTCCATATTGCTTTTCTTTCCTCAACCACTTTCCATCTTTTTATTTTATTCTCCTAGATATAATATAAAATTATCTTCCTATTCTCTCCCTAAATGTTTTATCTTGGAGATCACATTCTCCATTCCTTTTCCATAGCATTTTACTCTATATAATGGATCTTCTCGGTTCTCTTGGAGAATACTCACAGATTTTTTTTAAAGTTCTTTACTAATTTCTAATTTTCTCTGGGGTGAGGTTATTCCTCTGGGGCAAGGTATTATGTTTATCTTGGTCTCTCTCTCTCTCTCATCCCTATGGAAGGATTTCTTTAAATATTTGATAATACTCAATTGGGGAGCTTTCTGTACATGGGTGGGTGACTAGCAAGCTTCTATTTCTGGTAAGCGGAAGGGATCTGGTCATTACACTTTGAAACCCCTTAAATGCCACAGTATGGAAGGCTTTGCAATAAGGTCCCCGTTCACTCTCTCCTTGCCCAGTTGCCCCCAGGCAGTTGGTCTTTTTATTTGTTTGTCCGAAGGAGAAACACAGAGCTGCCAGGCATTCTCTCATGGAGGTGGATTATTCCTTTTACATACTTTTAAGCAATCTCCCTTTTTTAAGCTCAAATGCATACTCCTAGCCTCCATGATTCTGGGAGCTACAAGGCAGACCAGCTCCTTCATTAGCTAAAATTTCTTTTACATACACTGGGCTTTCTCTGTCATTAATCCTCCATCTACTTTTAGCTTCTAGAAATAGATTCATATATTTCATTTATTGCTGGGCCCCCTCCCATTCATTTCAGTGATGTCTTGAGAGGGAGAGGAACTAAAGACGTGTACCAGTATACTTAAGTATATGAGTATCTTAAAAAGGAAGCAACCTGGTCATTTCAAAGTTCAATGGACCTGATTTTAAGAGAATGAAATAAAAGCTCCTGAGCATTACATCAATTACTGAGTCTAGGAAGAGCTAAAATCTGAATGCTGTTTAGTTTCCTATACCGAAGTCTTAGGATTTTACTTGTATGACAACAGCAAATAATCATACCCACTGCAGAAATTGGTATTTTTGAATGACAAATTAGTTAAGAATATTCTGAAGTGCACATGTAGAAGTTCCCATTTGTGATACATGCTTATTCAGGTTCACCGAATGGCTATAAAATGTCAAGGCCACCAAATTCACATTTTTTAAAAAGGCACTAAAAGATGAAAAAAAAGCATATTCTGTTTACTAGAATCAAGGAATTTGAGCTGGAAGAGACCTCAAAGGATAATGTAGTCCAATCTGATTTTCCAGAAATGAAAATGGAGGCTGAGAGGGTTTCAGTGAGTAGAACCAGTGAGTGTCCTTTCTACACTAAAAGAAACTACTCATAGTAAAAATGATCAAAGCTTAGTTGAGAATATGTCTTTTAATCGCTAAAGAGCTTTGATCAAGTACAAACTCCACGAGGACTGAGTTATCATAAAGGAAACTGAGAGATGCCGTAGTGACATCATACTTACTCATTGCCCCAGTCCAGGCGCACGGTGATGTGCCGCTTAACCTCCCGCACCTGATCCTGAGTCAGGTGACCAGACAGGAGCTGCCTTCGCAGGTCAATAAGCTCATTCATCACATGGCGTAGCTTGTAGAAAAGATCTACTTTGTGTTTCTGAAAGGGCATTTTTGGTGTTGGGTGAAATAAAAAAGGGATATGGAAAGGGAATGAAAAAAGAAAGAGAAATAGTTAAACTATGAAAAGTGCTCATTTCTCTGAACCTCTAAATAAGGCAATGTAAAGAGGAGCTTATTTAAGAATGTTAAAGCAAAGTCTTTAGTTTGTACTGTCTAAATACCTCTCCATAGTGACATCTAACAAGTAATATAATTGATCTGGATCATTCAGAGCACTGTTTATCTCTACCCCGTCCTGCACTACTCATTTTCCAGTTAATCAAAGTTACTAAACTTAATCGGAACAAAAAGTTACGTAGGCGTCTAAAGATGTTTTCTCTGACAGAAGTTCTGTCTGTAACAACAGAGTCCAACCATCCAGCAAACATCCCTGGTTTCTCCAAGAGGGATACTCAAGTTGGGGAGAGAATCACTTGCCCTATTTCGAAGGAACTACGGTTTCAACATAAAACCAAAGTCTGTGGAGTGAGATTCACTCCAGGTTTCCAGGCCTAATCTAACTTTAATTAGCTTTTGTAAACAGTATATGTCCCTATTATCATAAATTTCTACTCTATTCAGTTTAATAAAAAGTGTCATCTTATTAAGAGTTAACTGAAAACCTCTTAATGAACTTAATGATGGACATCATAGTGTCTTAATGTATACAACTAAAAAATGTAAGTGCCATGACAGATGCTTGAGCAAAAAGATGTACTTAAGAATATAGATTTTAAAACTAAAGTCCTATTTGCTCACAAGCAAAATCTTGACTTTGGAATATTTAGGTTTCTGTTTCTGAGTAGAGAAGCATAACTGTATACAATAATTAGAATTCTTACAATGTAACATCTATAAAGAATGCTTTTAAAGACAGAGCAACCTATCGTATAGTGTTAAAGTCTCTATCTGAAATTTCCCCTAAAAAGACACTCGCCAAAATAAGCCGGATTCAAGTGAATATAAAGAAAATTAATTATAAAGCAAATTACAAACCCACAGAATCAGCTAATGTTTTTAGGAGGCAGTGATCTTATGATTAAAATGTTCAAAACATCATACTACTGAAAAATCATCTAATGGAGCATTAGACTTTTAAAGGTCCATCTTAAAGGGAAATTATTTTTAACTAGAAGACCTTAGGAATCATGCATTCTAACTACATCATCTCAATGGCATCCTGTCCCTTCTTCAGTCAATAACATATGAAGAAAAGTTAAGTACCTTGGTAGTACACAATGCTGGCAGAAGGGCAGAACGTACAAATTCTTGTCAGCTCAAAAAGCAACAAGGCCTAAGCAAATTGCATCATCTGGCAAATTCAGATCTTAAAGCAAAACACTAAAGCCAATGTGGTTTTGATAAATCAGGACTACCTGCCTAAGTTTAAAATAGAAAGTTAGAATTATTATTTTCCCATCAAACCACACACAATAATCCACTGCATACATACATGAGCATTTATTCATTCACTCAGCAAACGCTCATGGAGCACCTGCCGAGTGGTATCACTTCGTTGTCATCCAAAGTCCCTACTCCTGTGATGCTTTCATTCTAGAGAACCAAGACAGACCACAGGAAAATAAGTAAATAATGGTGGTGATTGGCACTAAGAAAAAAATTAAAGCAGAATAGGGACAACGGGTAGTCAAGGGTGGGTTGGCGGGGACGTGGAAGGATGTACTGCTTCAGGTTGGCTGCTCAGGCAAAGGCTTCTTCTTTGGGAACTGAACTTTGGGTAGAAATATGGCTGAAATAAGGTGACAGCTTTTGGGAAAACTGGGGAAGTTTTAGAGGCATAAAAAAACAGCAAGAGCAAATGCCTTGATGTGGACGTGCACTTGGTGTGTTCATAGAAAACAGAAAGGTCAGGGCACGTGGAGCAAAGTGAGCACGGGGGAGAGCGGTGATGATGCGGTCAGAGAGGCAGCAGGGGCCAGGTTAGGCAGGCCTTTGTCAGCCACATGAAGGGCATTAGCTCTTATTCCAAGCAAGATGGAAAGCCACTGGAAATTTGCAGCAGAAGAGTGATGTGATCTGACTTAAGTCTTGAAAGTATCACTCTGAATGCTCTGTTGAGAGTAAACCATGAAAAGCAAAGAGGAAAGCAGGGATTTTGGTCAAGGGGCTATTCATTGCAACAATCCACAGAATGATGGTTGACTGGATGAAAGTAAGAATGGTGACGATAAACGTTTTAGGGCTTAGAATTCTGACATGTTTTGTAGGTAGAGCTGTCAGGATCTGCTGATAGATTAGGGGTGGGCTATTAATGCAGTCAAGGATCACTTTTGTCCTAGTCTGAGGAGCACATCTGAAAGAGGGAAAACAAGGTTTAATTTGGACATGTTAATTTGACATTGACTTCCAACCTTTACAGGTTAGGAATGTGAAGGGTATCCAGCAGAGGAAACTACAAGGTGTAGGTAGTGAGGTGAGAGGAAAAGCAAGAGAGTATTGAAAACGGGGTTTTAAGGAAGACTTTGTCAAATGCAATGAGAGGTTAAAGGAAATGTAGACTGAGACTTGGCCACTGGATTTGGCATTGTGGTGGCTATCATTGACCTCTACAAGGGCAGTTTTGATGGAATGGAATGAGTTCAAGAGAGAACGGAACATGGATAGACCTAGAGGGTCTATGTTAAGTGAAACAAGTCAGGCAGAGAAAGATAATCATATGATTTTGTTTATATTCGGAATTTTAAAAAACAAAAGAAAATAACAGACTCAGAAACAGATCAAAGGGGAGAGGAGTGGGGGAATGGGTGAAGGGAAATATGGTCAATATATTGTGAATACTTTGCATGGTGACAGGTGATTATTAGACTTAGTATGGTGATCACATTGTAAGATATACAGAAGTTGCATCACTATACTGTACACCTGAAACTAATGTAATAATGTATACCAACTGTATTTAATTTTTTTAAGAGGAGGGAATGGAGACAGAGCATAGACACTCTTTTGTAGAATTTTCAATAACTGGAAGCAAAGAAATGGGGTAGCAGAACAGGGCTGTGTGACCAAGGTACAAAATTTCAGGCTATTTGTATGCTGAATGGAACAATCTAGTAAAGAGAAAAAAAACTGGATAATGCAGGTGTTAAATCCTTGAGTAGCCAAGAAGACATACATCCCAGGTCAAAAGGAGTATCCATCCTATTCGCTTAGGCTGGATACTCTATATATTACATAGTCACAGTGAGGGAAAGGCATAGAATATGAGTAATGACACAGGTAGCTGGGAGATTTGGTGAAAGGAAAACTAAATTTTTCCTCTGGTTGTTTTAGTCTCAAGGAAATAAAAAGCAGGGTCATCAGCAGAGAGTGAGTGGAGTGAGAGCTGGTGTTAGAAGTTTGAAAATGGAGAAGATGTAAAGGTTCCACAGGGAGGGCTAACACAAATCAGCAGGGGAAAGGTCGTTCAGCTGCCAGATGGTTTTGAGATTTGTGAACATTAATTAAAAGTTTGTATATTATTTTAAGCCAAGTATTTGACCCTTGAACAATATAGGTTTAAATTATGCAAGTTCACTTAAACAGGGATTTTTTTTCAGTAAATACCTACACTGTTTTCAATCCATGGCTGGTAGTCTGTGGATGCAAAGGGCTGACTATATGTATTGATCTGTGCCATTTTATGCAGGGGACTTGAGCCTCCGCAGATTTTGGTATCCATGGGAAATCCTGGAACCAATCCTCCGCAGAAACCGAGGGACAACTATTTTGGGGGAGTCAAAAGTTATACATGGATTTTGACTGCACCGGGCTTCGGCGCCCCTAACCCCTGTGTTGTTTAGGGGTTAACTATAATGTACACCGATACTAAAATATCACATATACATGTGTACATCTGTTTAATTTATGTGTATATATATACATACTATGTGCACATGCATATACATACAATATTTATGCAACACATACATGCGTGCACACACACATACAATATCTATGCAAAAATACACTATTGGGTTGTTGGAAAAGTCATGATGTATTTTTTCTACGTTTTTCGTAGCAAAAATGCATCTGACTTTTCCGACAACCCAATAATACAGTCTTTAAAGGCATTATACAGTTGTTGTTTTTAATCAAGAGTTTCTAACAGATCACATTTTTCAAAGATGACTACAATATCTCCCATCCCAAGTAATCTTCTGCAAAAATATGACCTTGACACCCCTCCAATAGAAGGTGGAGCATATTTCTTCACACCCTTGAATCTGGGCAGGCCCTGAGACTGCTCTAACCAACTGAACATGACAGCAGTAGGTGAGGCTAGGTTCTAGGTGTAGCTCCAAACTAGTCTGGAAGCTTCTGCTTCTTGCTCTCTGCTTCTTGTTCTTGGGAGGTTCCCTCTCAGAATCCAACTGCCATGCTGTGAAAAGCCTGAGCTACAGGGAGAGGCCACAAGTAGATACTCCAGTCAGCAGTCCATCTTAGATGCCATGCCTAAGCCAGCCCAGCCTCCAGAGGACTATAGCTCTTACCAATATCTGACTGCAACGGAATGATGAAACCCTATGTGAAAACTGCCCAACTGAACTCACTCTATCCAGAGAAGAATAAAATATAATAACTAGTTGTTTTAAGCCACTAAGCTTCAGGTATTTTATGTAGAGAACTGTACAGTATTTTTTTTCCAAAAGAAAAATCAGTTACAATTTCTAATTATATAAAGCTGGGAATACTAATCCTGTACCAAGAACAAAATGGATCATATAAACAAAAAGCAGCACTGTTATTACAATCAGTGTGGTGCTAATCCCTTTTTCCAGGCCAACCTAATGACCTCTTTGACCAGAGACCCTAACACTAGAGGCTCCACCAGCATCGCTGACACCACACTGCACTCTTGGTATTGGTAGCAAAAGAGAACACACACCATTCAAGGTGAGCAATCTGAGTGACTGGCCCCAGAGCACACAATTTCCCTAGGATCGCGTGACACATAGAACAGCGGAATACCCGACTTGGGCTGAACAATCCTTTTCTACT